GAAGTCTTATGATTTGTCAGTTTTTACAAGACAAACCATTTGTTAGGAATACAAACACGACTCTAACGTGGCAGTTATTGATATTATTTCGCGACAAAAGCTAGTAACATTAGACTAAAAGCTTAATTAGTATAAAGCTAATGTTTGACGAAAAAAGAAGTCAAGGCATCATCAAGCTGCTAAACGAGATCTGTGAACTAGGAGATTCACTGTTTTGTTATTTCAATATCACACAAGCTATTGGTGAATCAATACCACAATGAAACGTTCTTGCAAGAATATATTAACATAACAAGTACTAAGCAGGGTGTTGTGGTAACAGCATGTAGCTCACAATGACATATCTCCATTAGAAACATTATCATGTGATTTTCTGTGTTGTACAAAGTTATAATCAAATCAAAGAAAAAAAATTTTTACCAAGTTTAAAGTTAACACTGTAAAGAAATCTTTACAGTGGTTCTCATTCATGTGCAACCTTCACTGCAGGAAGTCTAGACCACAAGTTGATTTTTTGTAGACGTCAATCATCTCCGCCTTCCGTCCTGTATTGAATGAAATCTCAAGATTATTAAGTTTTGTCCTCAAGGCTTGTGGTGTAGGTAATACAGTATAGTAAATTAAAAGGTCTATAGCCCTAAGCAAGACACAATGTATGTGTAAAAATAACATGGGCGTGTGTAGATTTGCATGATTTCATAATTGTGATCATTGGTGCATGTGAATGGCCATTGATAAACCACACAAAGGTCTTCATTATAAATTTGAAGGACATATTGAGACGTAATGTATTTTGTAGTAGCTATTAGTCTTACATGTCCCAAATAATTAAAGTGATAATTTTTACGAGTGGAGTCATAGTGGATAATTTTTTACATTCAAACCTGCAGCTTTCGGAAAAGAGGTGGACATGATTGACATCCATCAAAACTCAACCTTTTGTCTAGACTTTTTGCTCTGAAGGCCGTGAAAAGAGGAAATTGTATAAATGACCAAAGGATTGTCAAGGTTGTGGAAGATTCAGATAAATTACAAATAACAAACTCAGTAAAATAAGGCTATTTTTTTTCAAGATGTGTGATCTGCAAGGGCTCTTGGCTCAATGGACATCATTAAAACTTCATATCACTCTTTCATGAGTTGGCGGGATCAAGAATTGCAACAAAAACAAATATTTACCTTGTAGAACCAATTAGAAAACAGTCCTAAGAAAATACACACACTGATTGGTTAAAAATCGTGTTGTTTTAACTCGATAGAAACACAAAGCTCTCACGAGATGTTGACGTAATGATGGCACGGGCAAAGAGAATTTACACTTTGACAATCAAAGTTAACAAGTTGTTTTACTTTTCTTGGTCGTGATGTTTTCTAAATGAAATAGAAAACATGTTCTCCGTGTTTCTATCAAGTTGTAGAAATACAAGTGAAAGTTTGGGAGAACAAGAAATCCTGTGGGAACACAAGCCGCACTCATGTTTCTATAACTCGATACATAACTCAGTACATGTTTTCTATTTCTTAAATAGTACTACACTGAAAGTGGTTCTAAGCCAATGAGGGGACTTGGCAGGGTGAATTCCACAACCCAAAAAGTAGTGATGATATATATAAAACAAATGGTCATGACAAATGACTTTCTTTCAAAAACGTTCTTTCATTTTCCCACAATGGGCATAATAATTTAGATAGAACAAGCAATAGAAGCTATCTATGGCTGGTTTGCAGTGTCACGCCATCAGAAATAAAAATCATAACCATCCAATGAATTAAGTCAAGAAGCTGGGATATGAAAGATGATTGATATATAAACAACCTTGCCAAGATTTAGGTCTGTGTGGTTTTTCATTCTCTCGTTATTCAGAGAAGTGTTTCACTCAAATTTATAGAGCTTTGTATGGAGTTGCCATGTTTGTGCCCCTCAAAGGGACGCCAGCATGGCGGCCGTAAAGTAATAGAAACATCTGTCATCGAGTTTTGCCATTGAAATGAAAAGTTATAACTCTAGAGCTCCGAAACATTGAAATAAACACTTTTTATAGGGCAACTGTTTAGTTAGCAAAAAACTTCAGCAATAACTCATCTTTTGACCCACTTGAGAGCCTTATCGGGCTGCCATTTTAATGGCACACGATGCATAAACTTGGAAATTCAGACATGCTCTATTACATAATGAAGAACCCTGTCAAGCTTAAAGGTTGCAAAACATCAAATTATTAAAGGGTCTTACATCTGATGAAACTAAAACTTCAGAAGGATTGGTAATTTCTTATTTTGGAAAATGATGACGTCACTTGAAAAGCGGCAATAGCATTGCGTTTCAAAGTGTGCATGTATTTTTTACTTGGTACCTTTCTATTAAAAAAAATTTGCATGATATCTTGCCTGCTGATGCAACTCTTTTCAGGATTATTTAACAGAAGAAATGTCATCTTTTTGATAACAAAAAACAAACATTGAAACATCTACCGGTAGTTGCATTTTTCTCAGTAGTGCAGACCTTCAGGGCAAGTCTTTCTAAATGGTGGAATATATATAGAGAGTGGCAACTTTAATTAGTAGCTTGACCTATGAAACTATAATTTATCATTGGCTTTACAAATGATTTTAGTCAACAAGTTGCTTTTCAACTCTTTTTAACTTGTGTATCGTTTAATCAAGTTATGGCTGGTAAGGGATCAGATTATGCAAACTAGGGGTTGGTCGATCATCTGTAAATTTTTTTCATAATCTCACTTTTTTGCAGGCACATAGTATTTGTTTGACATCTCTCTGACAACTAGTACCTATTATTTATACTTTTTACGAATTTCAAAGTATTCTGTCGGTATTAATGTATGTTGTCACTGTCATACGATGTTACTCGCTTCCCATGCACTTGACTTTCAAGAACAGTTTTTTTCCTCCAGAGTACCAGATATTAATAACAAACATCTTAAGTGCTTACCTAACTTGTTTTCTTGGTCTGCACTTTGAGACACAGATCCTCATTTTTTCCCTTATTGATTTATGGCCTGTGCCTGATGACACAGTCTTTGAACCACAAATTGAGGGGAAAAGTTGTGGTTCATATCTTGCATCAGAGATCTCAAACTTGGTACATGAGAAGATTGTATTAAAAAGTTAAATATATTTAATTTGACATGCTGTGATAAATTTCTAGTCAAGGAGGTGTTCCTCCTCCACGTCCAAGGCATGGAATACCCTGTGACTGCCCCCCTGGACAAGGCCTGTCTGGAAACATAACTGATGTCAAGTGCCTTCCATGTGAGATTGGTCAATATGGGTCAGGGGGGGAAACCATTAACAACTGGAAGGACTGGACTAACAATGGTACCAAGCCACCTGATGGGTCAGATATTGTCACATTTTGTGAAGTTTCACGTGGCTATGTCAAAGGCCTATGTCAACCTTGGAGAGCAAGTGGTAAGCATAATAAATTATTTATGATGCAGTTCACTTAATCTTCAATTAGTCCTGTGTATCTACAACATACATGTGTGACAAACACACGGTTGTGTGTTGTAGATATATATACAGGATATTATGTGGTGGCAGGAAGATATGAATGTTATTTTTGAGAGACAAATTATTGCTTAAATTAAAACTGATTACAAAGTAAAATTCATATTTTCAAGTCACCATGTAACTTTCCCTTTATTATATAGATGAATCTATCGCTTGTCATTTTCACCTAGTGTGAAAAAGGGGGAAATGACATCACCAATATCCTCACTAGTAAGAATATGGAAAATATGCCACTCAGGAGCCAAATTTAGTTTGGTACATGAATTTTCTGAGTGGTGTTTTTCCAATAGAATGTTCCTGTCGATACAGATACAATAAATACAGGATATCGTATCATTGATATGGCCTGGCCAACTCCTTTAGTTGTTTTAAGTAGAGGAGTAAAGAAACTGACAACTATGCAGATGGATACACCAACCATTAGGTTTGATTGCTACTGGCAGAACTCTGATGTTTACAGACTGAGTAGCTTATGTCAGTGACTGATAACAGATAACACCCTCAAAGAAAGTGTGGACTGCAATTCCATGACTTGATACATGTAGAAGCACCAGCATGAGTTGTTGAGTTGACATGTTTGCAATGGCACAGCAAAGAGAATTTACATTTTGATACTTACATTAATCAAAATATTCAATTTTGCATTTCTCAAGTGTCTGTGAAGAGTATTTAAATAAAAGATAAATTTACTAGTCAAGGCAGTTCCAGAGAAGACAAGAGTTGCAACCAAATATGAAATGAAGATTTTTCACAGTATGAACAGGAGTAAAAAAAGAGCTTTTCAATAATGAATTTATTCATTCGTTTAACTGTATTCAGTGCAATTCTAAGTATTTGCTTATTTTTTCAAAAACTTCTAGTCATAACATTTTCTGGATTAAGAACCATGGCTTCCAAATTGCAATTGTACATCAACTGGTAAATGTGTATCTTTGATTGTCATTTTACAATCAAAAACTTGGCTTAATAAATGCAGAGGCACACACACCTAGAGCAACACAATGCGGTGCAATTGTCAATGATCCTTGCATTGCATGATCTGTGGATGTCTTAATTTGATTTAATAATTGAAGGGGTGAGTGCAAAACCATGCTA